CCCTTTAATTCCTATGCAGACAATACTTGAAACCTTGTACACAGTTGTCCTTTCCAGCGCCTGGGGTTGGCAAACTCTTCATAAAAGGGCTTATTTAAAGAACAGCAGGAGGCTTCAGCTTTAGAAGAGGCTGGGCTGCCCCTTCCCAGCCGACAGCTGCAAGCGTGTTCAGTGCTTTGCATATGAATTTAGGCACATCTGGACCCTCTGCTTCAAAATCCCACTGGTACAGCCGCTGTCTCCCCTTGGTGCTGGCTGGCTGACTCTGTGTCCCGAGCACCCAACTATGCAAAGAATGCCTTATATACATTGTGTTTAAGTTACATGGCAATATGTACATCAAGCAAAGTCTATAGTTGAGTCCAGATTTTTGCTAGTGGCAGCGAGTCAAACTATTTCTTCAACTCAAATGGCTGTCTGGGTATTTTTTACTTTTGTTTGTTTTGTTTGTTTGTTTTGTATCTGATGGTGGCTCTTATACAAAGGACTGTAATTCTAGTGGCTTGAATCTGTAAAAATTGCCTTTGTTTGGTCCAATAAACCTTTGAATAGTTTATTTAGTTTGTGCTTTTTTTCCCTGCAACTTCTTCCTCAAGAGATTTGTGTTGAAAATCTGGATTTTAGGTTAGAGGTACATTCTGTCATATGCCTTTTACCCCATAAATGATTCCGCTGTGTTCCTGAACAACGGAGTCAGACCAATGGCGAAAGTCAGCGATTTTCCCTTATTTCTGCTGGTGCAATGCAGTGTTGCAGCAGGATTCTGGTCTTGTTTGGCTGTGGAACAATTAGCAGCATTCCTAAGCGCAGAGCTCTGTCCAGGAGTTCAGATGCTGTGAACATGGATGCCTAGCAGTTCCTGAAACGCAGATCTCCTTTAACATACTTATGGCTCATTGCCCCAAACCTCCAGTTAATCGTAAAATTCTTGGACTGAAATGTCTGAAAAGAGCCTAAGGGAGTTAAGTATGCAAATTCAATTGCCTATCAAGAAGAATTAGGCTTCTTTGAAAATCCTTAATTAATCTATTTTGTCAGCAATAAGTAAAATTCTGTTTGACCTCCTGAATCCAAGTAGTTTTGAGGACAGCACTTACGGGAAGAGAGAATGATTTTACTTGTGAATGGGGTAGGTTTGATCTGAAACCATCAAAAAAAAAAAAAACCAAACAAACAATCTGGAGCAGTACAAAGTTGTTTTACAAGGTCACCTTTGATAGGAGAAGCTCTTTTTGACATCAGTTTCAAGTTTTTGATGCCTTACTCTTCCTTCTCAGGCTCTTTTCACTCTTTATCTTTGTTTTGTGATCTCTTTGTTGTAGATTATGTAGCACAGAGAAGTAACAGCAGTAACAGCTCTTTTTTATTTCTGTTTCTCAAATACACAGTCATGCTACTTGAAGGGAGGGCCAAAATGCATTGATGTTGCACTTAGAAAAATAGAGTGAATATTGTCTGTGATCTTGATTTTGGAGGTTTGGAGACAAGGAAATGGGCCTTTGGGGAGACTTCAGCAGTGTTAATGTCTGTGAAATAATGAGCAAGGCATTCAGACCTGTGTAGAGCTCTCCCAGCTGCAATGCATTTCAGACACGTGAGGCAAAGCCGTGTATTGAATTTCTCCACACCAGACTGGAAATGTGCCCTCTGGTGCCCAGCGGTGATCTAAAATAAAATATTGATCACTAACGACTGTGCTTCCCTTCCTCTTGTCTGGAAAGGGCAGTTGGATGCAATACATGTGAGCGCAAAAAATTACAGAAGAGACAGACAAATCCAGGCGCTTCACAGCCTGTGGCCAGAGCTTTCATAACCAAAAGATCCCACATCATTATCAGGATATGTTTGGCCTTAGGACAGTTGCATTTTAATTGCAATAGAAAAGAATTGGCAAATGGGCTTTCTTTTGCCAGGATCTGCTTTTTTCCTGCCCTGCCTGCTGCAATGGTGCTGGTAGGACAGCCCGCTGTTCCTGCTTCTGCTGTGGCAGTCTGGGAGAGGGGAAAATGCAGAGCCCCACTTGGCAGGAGCTCAGCACGCAAAGGCTCTTTTGCTTGTTCCTGGCTGTTTCCTTCCATTGATCTTGTCTGTGGTGCGGTTGCTTCTGATATGTTGATGCTGTCCTCTCCTCTTTCAAGCAAAGATTGTGTCCTGGTTTTGCCTGTCAATGGGTATTTCTACCCCTCCTGTTACTGGAACAGCTAATAGCTTGTCCACACAGGATTTGCAGGAAGACTACTCCAGGTTAACTAATGGCGTGCATTTAAATGGATTAATTACAGCGTATTAAAGTCCTGTGCGGAAAGCTGGCTGTGACAAGCACAAAGGACTCTTGACAGGGTGACCATATGGAAGTAAAAGCCAGAGTCTGTCTTTCTAGCCGAGGGGAGGTCTAAAGATGTTAAACAAGCAGGAGGAGCTGGGATTGCAGCAGATCTGTGCTCTGAGCGGCTGGGCTGTCGCTGAATTCTGGCCCCACAGTCACATAGGGGCAAAATGAGCTTTGAAGTAATAGAAACTGCTTCTCCCTTGTTACAGCCATAAAGCACCACAACCTCATTAGTTCTTTCAATCTCACACGGGAGAGGCAGGTATGAGGTGTGCTAGGCAATACTGCAATCTGATCCCAATCAGATAGAAGTCCAGCAGTGAGAATGAACCGGCCCACAGCCAGCCCTGACTGGAGCCAAGGTGCACATTCATTTTGTTCTAAAAGAGGATTTTGTAGACATCAAAATCAGTTGCATCAGTTCATGAGCTACTTGCGAACAAATGACACTCCTGTGCTGTCCGCCCTTCTGTATCCCTGAGTGATGATCAGTAGATGTACGACCAATATAAGCCCTCCTATAAAGCTTCCTCAAATAAAGCCCTGTGACAGATACCAGTCTTTGTGCTGCAGGACATACAACAATGGTTAACTGGTTCAGGTTAGGGAAAAATCAGGATATCATCTGTTATGGGGAGAAGGGAGTTAATAATCTACTATGGGACTTCATAGGGATGGAAATCTGAGCTAGATGGTGCACTGGTCAGCCTCTGCCCACACAGGGATCACCTCATTGCTGGATGGGCTACATGAGTCCATCTCACCATTTGACATTGGCAGGCGAACTCTCGAATCAAAGATTTCTATCTGTGATCTTATCTTCCAGTGTCTGATTAAAGTCATGTCCACACTGGAAGGTAGTCTAGTCTCTAGTTCTAAGGTAGGGTATGCATTTAAAATTTAATAGCTATTCCTGAATTACTCTGTATCTACATACTCTCATTACAGAATGAAAGGACACTGTGCTGATGAAGCTTAATCCAGTTTCATTATGGAGTCTGCTAAATTGGGACATGTTGGTCTTATGAAATTCCACATGTCAAGTTATCCTGAAACTTTGAGCACAGATAAGCCCTAAGAAACTCCAAAGCTGGTGTTAAAGCAGTCTGTTTTACTTCCATATTTAAAGAACTGCAGAGATGTGCAGGTTGATTGGACAGATGGGAAGGTGGAGGAAGGGGAACCAGAGGCTATCTCTTTCTCATCTCACACGGGCAGATTTCCTGCAGTCAGTAGGGCTTGTAAAATGACCTGCATTTGGCTTCATGTTTCATTTGACCACGGTGTTCTTGCTCAAAGTGCCTTCTGGGGACTGGCTATTCCTACTTCTCCTTTTCTTCTTGACAGGGTTCAGAGAGAGCAGCTGGCTGCCATCTTCAGGCTCATGAAGGAAAAAAGTGACACATTTGGAGAGATGTCTGAAGGAGACATGAAGGAGCAGCTTAGACTGTATGATATATAACCTTGCAGCCAGTGGAGACTATGCCCAAAAGTCACCTTGGCCCTTATTATGCAGCACACTGGAGACTGTAGTGCTATAAACATGTTTTGGTAGCTATTTTGCAGTTCCAGTTTGTTTTGCAAACGCATATAGGCCTGTGATACATATTTCAAAAGACTTGTAATGTCTCACCCATTTTATCATTTTTCCTTGAAGAGTTATCACGGTATTTTCATCTCATACAGAGATTTTTACTTCTTTCTGGCTGGGTCATATGTCTCAGTCATACAAAGTAGTTAAACTCGCAACTTTTTTCTGGCCATGCTTTATAAAAATGAACTTGCAAACCTAGTCTTTATCAGTTTGATATCTGAAGAAAGCCAAAGATGATAGATGTAAAATGGATGAAAATAATAGAATCATAGAATAACTTAGGTTGGAAGGGACCTAAGGAGGTCTGTAGTCCAACCTCCTGCTCAAAGCAGCATCAGCTATGAGATCAAGCCAGGTTACTCAGGGCTTTATCCTGTCAGGTCTTGAAAACCTCCAAGGATGGAGACTGCACAACCTCTCTTGGCAGAGAGGCTTCCAAACCTACAGTTAGAAAATGAATAGCCAAAGCCAAGGCATTAGTGCGCCGATTAGAGCTGAGCTGCTGTTCTCATCTCCTTGGAAGGAACACTTCATCCTCCTTCATGCTGGCTTTTTGAAAGAAATCCAGGTTGGTTCTGGCTGACCCCACGGAGCTCATCTTCACGCCTGAGAAAACAGCAGCTAACTTCAGCCTGGAAACACAAACATCTCTTCGCCTCTTGACACTGGTAAAAGTAGTACAGAAAGGTGGCTGGCAGTTTCACAAGGATGATTGTGTCCCATTCAGATCCTGTTCTCCTAACATAAAAATGATGTGGGAAACGACATACTTAGGAAAGCTCTGTGAATTTATCAAGTATTTTGAACAGTTTTGCCCAGCTCTTGGTGGTTTGGATAGAGTAAATGAATGAGCGTTCCTAATTTTAACTGAATGTCTTCTGGTGTACTTCTCTCACCTATGAAATCCTGTTAAATACTCTATTATCAGGAATTATTTTCTTGGTTTTAATAACTGCTAACAAAGGGGGGCAACATTTTGTGACCCAGTTTTAGGGAATGATCTCTTAAAAGATGAGGATTGCTTTATTTTGTGTAATTCTTTTGAGTCTGAGAAACCAAATATCCCATTATCTGGTCACTGTTTCCCACTAAAGTATATTCTATAACACTGTACTATTTGACTTTTAAGAATCATTTTATCTTCTAATTGTTTTCACTTAGGTGAAAGCATATTTATTATGAGATCAAGCTGGTTTTACTACCAATTCATAACTTAATCTAAATTGAATGTCTGAAAATCACTACTTCTTATTCAACATGAAGGAATTAAGCCGGAAAAGGAGTTTCATTATGTGAAACGTCATGCTAGCTTGCTGTGTCCCTAGGCCACAATTTCCTTTGTCAAGCTGTGCAAAGGGAGAAATGTAAAAATTTGTATATGGGACTTCTCCCTAGTTCAAAACTGAAAGCAGGATCTTTTCCAAATCTCTTCTTGAAAGCAAGCAAAGGAGAGTTCAGGTTTAGTTGATTTTCAGTCTTTTTCTTGTAGACTTTACAGTTTATTTCCAAAGTATTTTTATATTTCTTCTTTTACATTTGGGCATTCTCTCAACGGGAACATTTCTGGGGGAAAAAAAAAAAAGAAAAAAAAGTTCCTCAAACTCCTCAGCTTCATATTATGCCAGCAATCATAATGCTGAATAAGGAAGAGCAGCTGGCATTAAACCTGTCTTGTCCACACCTTCTCCGAGCAGTGTCACCAAAATGTTGACATTTTCGTTGTTGATGACAGGACAGCGCTAAAAGACCTGTCATTCGCTAGGCCCAAATTTATGAAAGAAACTAAGCGAAATAAAGAAGCCTGTGCCCAAGCCATGAAACAAAGGGATGTCTAGATGTAAACCCCATGGATTTTCAAAGGTACGTTTTCTCTGCATGCAGTGCAAGGCTGTAAGAAAGAGGAGCCCGCCGGACACGTCTGTGCGCACTCCATGGATGGCAGTGGGGAGGTGGCCTTCGGAGGCTGCCACCGGGACCTGCAGCGATGGGGTACGGCCCACCGTGGCCAGCCAGCTTCTCATTTCCTTGTCCCTCTGGGCTTATCAATATTTATACAGGAAATTTCACCAGTTGCTACAGCAGGATCTCCCCTTCTGGGTACTGTCCTTTAAATAACACTGGCTGCTCTTCCTCAGCCTCATGCAGGGCCGTAGGGTACAAACGCGGCCATGCGAACGCACGGCGCGTAGCGAGGCCGGGCCGGTGCCCTGCGAGGGCCATCGGGGAAACCCTCCTCCCCTTTGACAAGCTCTGGGGCTGCAAAGATGGCCGGGTGGATCCCGAATCCACGCTCACGCTGAGGGGCCTCTCACAGCCCTCCATAACACGGCGGCCTGCTCTCCTGTGAGCCCCAGTCTTGGCGGGGTCAGGCCCCC